TCAGCTTTTAAAACCGGCCGAGATACTGTCTGATAGAAGATACCTGTTTTGTGTAATTACTTGGTTGCAGCACTATAAATTAGAAGGTTTCTAAATGTAAAGGTTCGGGAGTATGCTTCTATGAGAAGTGTTCTTGTTTTGCTTCAATCTATATTTTGATTACCTAACCCTTCCACTCATATTGGCTCTGTATTGAGAAAAATAACAACAGATCCGAGGCGTAAGGGGACCGTACATTGTTTAAAAGTTTGCATAGGTACCACATGATGACAACACTCTCCATTTTTATTTGAAGTTTCATATTTCATTTGCAACACCACTTACAACGAAATGCATCCCAACCGTGAAACCCTTAAAAGAGAGCTATTTTACTTTGCAAGCGAGCAGGAGTCACCAATCTGGGGCAAAAAGCCCAAGTGATAGGCTTAAAACAAATTTTCTAATGGAATAATATCTAATCAAGTGAAATATTTTACACAGGGGAGTGCTTTCTGAGTTTTTTGTCCATTTTGCCGGCAAATTGATAATAAATACCAATCAACAATCGAAACTACTTAGCATATATAGTTATCATCAACGTAGATCTCCTAACTAGAATATAGGTAGAGTCATCTTCACAAACGCTATTACTTTATTCGCATAACCTAAAGAATGTCGGGTATGAGTATAAAATGGTCCGAAAGAATGTACTTACGTTTTTGAACTCAAACACCCCCTTCACCAGTTCTGTCGTACCTAGCGCCTTTGTACTGTTGTTTAGTCCTTCGTATGCCTTGCAAAGTTGATCAGAAGCGGTGTTACTTTTTTCCAGCGCAGGAAGTAAGTCCTTTAACTGCTGAGCTATTTTATCACACTTGGGGTTCAAGCTGTCCGCGAAAGCCTTAATTGCCTCCGGTTTGAAGGCATTTTCTTGAAGTTCCTCAATTGAATCCTATACAAAGGGAAAATATTCACTAAGATATCGAAACATATATTACCCCATGAGTGCCTGGAATTTTGCATTTGGGTCTTGAATCGTCGTGTGGGAGAATGTTAGCGGTTTTAGTGCCTTAGATATAACATAATGTTTAAAAAGCATGATTATGCATGTAAAACCTCTAATTGGACCAATTAATTGCACCCAATAAACTAATAAAACAAATAATCCACGTACGGAAATGTGAGCAATATCTAAAAGCAGCATCTCAAAGGTTATATTTTGACTCTAGTTTAGCAGGACAAAAGTTCTTAGGATGATTTTTCTGGCTTTACCTTTTTGCTGACTTGTTTAAATGCAGTGTTCACGTGGTAAGAAAATATTATTTTACTTTTGTAAGCCAACATTCGTGAAATAAAAGTGCGCAACTACAGACATACAAATTAATTTCATCGAAGACTATTTGCTGATAAAAAATTATTTCGATTTTAAAGTAGCTCCCACTTCTTACGATTTTAAAATAGACAGTTTAGAAACAACTGCCCGACGACCTACACACTGGATCATTTCCATAGCACATGACCTCTGAACCAAGCGCTTTTAAGTTGTAGTCGAATTCTCGATAACGTAGCAGGAGTAGAATTTGCAGTATCAAAGGTATGGCATTGATTTAACATGTAACAATAAGAATTATAACCTGTCGAGCATAACAAGATTGAATATTTAAGTAATTTGGTTCATCCACGCGTTGAAAAGCCATGCGAAAGAAATAGAT